CTCTACCTGCGGGGCACCGTGTAGGTTCGACTCTTTGGTCGTTAACCTATACGCACAAGGTGCCAGCCTATTCTTTTGCGCTCTTCGTCGCCGCGCCACGCTTCGTCATCGACCCCGCCGCGCGGTCCTGCACCCGTCGGGGCGCAGTGCCTCTATGCGCGGGGCGTCTTCGACGGGGCGCGGGCGCAGCGACCGCGCGGAGTGGGCGAGGGAATCCATCATGCCCATTTCCCCCCTTTCAGGCGAAGGCAGTTCCGCGCCGCTCGCGGCCGCTCTTGGCGAGCTTCTTCCTGACTCACCGCTGCCGCTTGGCGCGATGAGCTCCTGGCGGCGCGGCAGATCCCAGCTATGGAGGTTAATTGACCTACGTATCAACTGCTCCGCGAGGACCTCAATGCGCATCGTGCCCAGGTTGAGATGGCCGCTGCCAACCTACGCTCCCGAAACACGTTCACGTCTGAGTTGCGCGGCAAGCTGCGTAGCGCCGAGATGGCCATCGCTCAACGTCTTGATGCTTCCGATGGGACGCATGCCAACGCTCGAGAACCGGGCCTCCACGGTCGAGCAGCAGTTACCGGAAGTAAGGACTACACAGGCTGAGTTGCGTGTTGTACGGGCCCAGAGTGATCGGCTGGGAACGCCGACTTCGGTTTGCGATTTCGCCCCCCTCGAAGCCCGATTGGCCGAGGCACGGGCGGCGGCGGGCCACGGGCAGTTACGGCTCAACCAGATCTCCCAGGAAAGAGACGCTGAAAAAGGCACGGGCCGGGGATGCACTCACCTGTTTGGAACAGGAGCGAGACGCGCGCCACCGACGAATCCAGGACTTAGAGCATCGGCTGGACCGGCGCCCCCAGCTAATCTCGAGATACGTGGCATACAGCAGAGTGTCCAGAAGATTCAGATTGACATCGCAATCAACGAAGCTACACGGACGGCCCGCGCGAGCAACATTCAGATCCACCATCCGACCCCACCTCCTGGACCTCATAATGACCGAGTCCCAACTCATGCCGATGGAAACATCCGCGCTGGACACGCGCGACGCGCGTCGCCTGGCGCCGCTTCTGAAGCGGCGTTCGCCCAGACACGTCGCGTTTCTCCCGCGCGTGCGTCGTCGCCTACACAGTCATTTCCATCGCCGAGACTGTCGCACTTTTCTTTCAAAGAATCAAATACTGTACGCATGCCCTGCCGCGCGCTACTCTATTACAAGAGTGCCAACATATGGTTCGGGGTAACGTTGGCAGCGCCTCTGGCCGTCTTGCCAAGGCCTACGCATTCCCACGCATCGCAGAACAACCATCCTCTACTTTTGAGGACCCTCAGGACAGCGGTGACTAAGAAAGCGTAGATGGTACACTGGCTGCCGGACCCGCGACAGTCCTCAATGTTGAGATCCGGTACCGCATCAAGAACCTCGCAGCTCAGGGGCGCAAAGTTGGCCGCATGTTGAAACGTAGACATATGTATTGGACTTTATTGCAATCCTACAAAGCCACCGCAGTCGACGACACGATGCAAGATTTTGAACGTTTACAGCTGATCCGCTTGCGGGACAACGACTTACAACGGTTCGCTGTGGACTGGGGCATTTTACTATTGGAATGCCGCGAACCGCCCCACGCGAGATTACTCGAGTCATTATTCCGAGCTCAGATCCGCAGACACCAATGGATGAATCAGGACATGCACGACTACAACAATATGAAACGCGACGACCCGAAGCGTGCATGCGACGGGCTCCGAGAACGTGTTCTAGTCAGCATTGAACTGCGCCGACTCGAACGCAGCCAGCACAACATCCGTGACACGATTCCCTCATTTGGGCGGCGTGCAAGTCTGGACGTAAGCACGGAGAACGGCGCGAGATGCTGCGCGCTGGCTCCGGCGGCCGTTCCACGCAACGGCCTCCGCGGTTACTTTCTACCTCGGGCAGAGACGCCCGCGAAAGGCGCTGTTCCGCTGGCCGAGCCTCCGGGCCGCCGCCGAAGGACAACGCCAAACGAAATTTCTGTTTCGCCTTCGCGAAGCGCGGCTCCTGCCCGCTTCAAGATCGCTGCGAGTGCCCGCGCATTGCCAAATGCAGCTTCTATGCTGATCCAGAGCTACACTGCAAGCATGGAAGCTGCCGCCGAATCGCGCGCGTTGAACCTGGCGCTGAATTCCTGAGAGGAGCCCCAGTCCGACGTTCAGCCAAGACAGCCGCCACAGGACACCCTCCCCAAGACGTGCGGGGGGCCGCAAATCCTCCCCCTACAAGGGGCGGCAGGGCTCTCGCAGTCCGGGGGGCGCGCGCTGGTCGCGCCGAGGTGCGCCATCTCCCGGGCGCGGGGGGCGGCCCGATTCGCGTGGTCCGTGGGGTCGCGGATGGTCACCCCGCTCCGCGCCGCGCTCCAGATATTCACCACAAAACTCCAACGGGGGCCACCATTTTGGACGCTCCCCCACCAGGAGTGACAGAAACGGCAGCCGATCCGCATCTCGCGGCCCCAGCCGATCACCATCCACCCGTGATCGCATGCGCTCTCCATCAGCGACACGATGCAATACGCGACGTGACCGAGCAGATGTGACCCGCGAGCGGCTCCTTCTCCTAGCCGACTCACTACTACGGCAACTACGTTTGGACCTCAAGAACGTCGACAGCATTGCTTATCCGGTCATCCACAGACTGGACAAGTACAACGAACCATTGACCAATCAAGGTGAACAGGTGCACGTACCTGACACGTTGCCAGAGATGGTGGTTGGAGGATAGCGCACGAGCGCTACGTGACTGCCAGACCGAAGCGCATCACTTGCATGACGAGCTCGCGCAGACCACCAGACTTACCATGGTGCCTGATCTTTCACCGACTAACAATACTGCGTCGGTGGCAACGCCCGCGCCCGAGTCTGAGACAATGACACGGTCCACATCAGCGTTGTCACGGACGTGGATCTTGGATAGCGCCCCCGCCCACCACATTTAAGATAAGGCGGACCTGCGACCGCGTGAAACTACCGACGTGCACCATGGACGAAAATATTCGAAACAGCTAACGGTGACATAATCGCCATCGAGCACATCCACTTCTAGTTACCGCACATTGGACTATCCAGTTCGGCATTAGCAGTGGACGATTGGCCATCGTTACAATCTGTAGGACAGCTGGTACAGGAGGACGGCTTCAGGCCGATCTGGGATCCGCAGTCCGGCTACTTACTACAGGACCCTCGTGGTCAATGGTACAGGGTCAACGTCATTACCCGCATCCCAGAGCTTGACTTCAGTAACCTTCAAAAGATTTCGCCGCCGCACTTGTGTGCCGCGCTACCTACGTCACGACGTGCACGACGGAGGAACGATGACATTTCGTCTCCCTTCATGTGTAAATGTTGCGTGGATGGTGCCATTGCGCTGGTAGACACACCTGCATTCGCGCATAGTGCTGCGGCGCCAGTGGACACACCTGCATCCACGATGAATCCGACTGATGCGAAGTCTGGCACAGTTGTGCCGGTGGGCACACACGCATCTGTGCTACAGAATCGCGACACTACGCTACATGGCAGACCACGTCAACCCATCGACCATCACACTACATCACTCAGAGTCCCAAGCATCCCGACTGTGTGTTTTGTGCGCGCATCTTAATGCACAGCGCACCATGCCGACGCCAGCGTCGACCCAACCCACCAACCGCTCCCACTACGGATGACATTCGGTACGAGGCTTTCGTGCCCAAGCGATTCGGTGAAGCGCTGACCGCCGACCACATTGTCCTTGCAGCAGATGGCGTCGCATATAGATATGGCGACAAGTACGCCTTGGTAGTGCTGCACAAGTTTACGGGTGATATCATGGCATTTCTTGCGAAGCTCAAGGACGCCGAAATTACCAAGGCATCCTTTCTTGAGTTTCTCGCCCCGACTGACGAAGTGAATCGCGCTTATATCGGCAGTTCGGGGGAGTTACAGTAAGCATGCCGCCTTCTGGGCTGGCGACACGATACCAGCATGCCACATCGGCCACAAGCCAACGGTATGGCCGAACGTGCAGTCAACTCCGTTATATAGGGCACCCGCGCGGTGCTCCACAGTTCTGGCTTGGGTCACGAGTGGTGGAAAGAAGCTATGCAGGCACGGCGCTGCGGCCGCAATTCTACCACTCGACCTTGCCATGGAGTTGCCGCCACACAGGAAGCATACAAGGACTACACATCATATGGAGTCCACATTGGAGAACCCTGCCATGGTCACATTGCCCTTTTTGGTATTCGGATCTTTGGAAATGCTGGAATCCAGACATCAACAAGTCCGCAGCGAAATTCGACGAGACCACACGAGAGGGATTGTTCATGGGATGCCACATTCACTCTGGTGGGCGCTGGTGTGGTGACTACCTCGATACTGATACGGCCACATACGCCAAACATCCCGACGGATAACATTGCCATGTAAATCGTGTCAAGAACATTGTGATTCCAGAGGGAAGATTCGTTTTCCTTGTCAAAGAAGGCTTTCTCCGACACCACAACCCAGAAACACATGAGTTGATATCCTTCCAAACATCCCGGCCACTGGGAAAACCAGTAAAGGACGACACTGTCCTACTGTCCTACTATGACCAGCTCGGCGGGATGATCCCAGTATTTCGAAGCTTCCCGAACCAGCCCTTCCCGGAACTTCTGGCTCTGGAGCACGGCCTCCCGAACCAGTACTTCTCCGAGGCACGCGAGCCAATTGCTCCAGCTCCTGCGCCCGACTTGGAACAACGCGGTGAGGCTACACTACATCACATACGAACGCCCTCTTCCTCCCCCTCCTCCCCTTCCCCTCCTTCCCTCCTCTTCCTCTTCCTCCTCCTCCTCCTTCTCCTCCCTCCTCCTGCTCCTCCTCCTCTTCCTCCTCCTGCTCCTTCTCTTCCTCCTCCTCCTCCTCCTCCTCCTCCTCCTCCTCCTCCTCCTCCTCTGCTTTCCTGGGCCCTCCCTCCCCCGAGCAGACCGCGCGCCCAGGCGGAGCTCATCGCCCCCGAGCGCGCGAGCCCAGGCTGCGGCGCGCAGCTGGACGCCAGCGACTCTGTCGACCCCGCGGGCAACGACCTGGCGTTCGCGTGGCGGGAGGGGGGCGGTACTGCAGACCCAGACCCATGATGCCGACCTTAGGGGCTTCGAGGTTCGATGTTTTCGAGCGGTTTCTAAGGTCCTCGGCGGCTTTCCAGCTTCGGGATGCCTTCCAGCGGCTGCGTCTCGCCGAGAGCGCTCCGTGGGTCCCTGGATCGTCCCGAACGGCCGCCGGAGAGCCGAGTAACGACCCGACAACCAGACCCCCTCGCGTCGTGAATGTGTGGAACTTTTGGATTGCGTTTCGCTCCGCCAGTTCTGGCCCACCACGCTTCGGCGCGACACGATCTCTACTTCACAGTTCCTAGGCGTCGGCGTCCCGAGTCTCTCCGAGCATCCCGCCCCGCGGAGCAGAGCGACACGCTGTCCACTCGCAAGGCACAGCCTGTCGATGGGGACGCCGCCGCGACACGCTATGTAAAAGTTCCTGACCGTAATCACGACGGACGTTTTTTATGATTTATAGTTCTCGATTTTCGGCTTCTGGGGGCCCTCGCCGGGCCCACGGACCGCAACAGAAAGACTCAGGATGAAGAGCTCGTCCCCCAGAACGGGTCGATACCTTTGGAGGCTCGGCGCTGTGAACAGCTCGTTGCTTCGGGGATCGGGGGGTACTGCTGCCGCAGCTCTGGTGGTGCGGCCGGTCCGCTGGTCCTGCCGCCACGGTCACGGTGCGCTGCCGCTGCCCGCCGCCGCAGCCGCCGCCGCCGCCTGCTGCCTGCCCGCTGCCGCTGCCGCTGCCGCTGCCGCTGCCGCTGCCGCTGCCGCTGCCGCTGCCGCTGCCGCTGCCGCTGCCGCTGCCGCTGCCGCTGCCACTGCTGCCCGCGATGTGGGGCTCCAGACATGGCTTCGCCTTCGAGGATCGAAGGGGTCGGCATCTCTGCCATGGTGCAGGAGGCGGAAGGTCGGCGGACGCCGGCGTCAGAAGAGTGGCGGCGGGCCCGCCGGCGGAAGCCGGCGGAATCAATGTGTGTGCGCCCAGCAGATGGCAGCTTTGAGGGTCCAGGTTTCCGAAGTCGGCCATTGGGAGGCCGTGCTTGTGTTTTGTGTCGGTGGCCATTTCACATCGTCCCTCTGCTGGCTGCCAGGCCACCTGAACCTCGTGCTTCACGGCCTGCGTTTGTCTTCTCGGGTCTTTGCTCGCAGCGTGTGGGCCGATGCGGGCGCTCTTTCTAGGCGGAGCTGCTGGAGGGCCCCCCGAGGCTAGCAAACATTATAATCACCAGCGCAATCATCCTACAACTTCCAGGTCGATCCCCTGGGCCCGCTTCCCAGCCAGAGGAGGGAGGGGACCTGCGAGCCGGCGAGAGGACGTTGGTCCCGATACCCCAGGGGCTCCCCATGGGCCAAGGCAGGGCCGTCCGCCTGGGCCCGTGGGCAGGTTTTTGGAGTACCCAGCGGTTCGGAGCTCTTTTCTTCTTCTTCGTCTTCTTCTTCCTCCTCCTCCTCCTTCTCCTCCTCTCACTCCTCGAAGCTAGAGGTCTCCTTCGCCTCCTCCTAGTTCCTAGCTTCTAGTCTAGTTCCTAGTTCCTAGCTCCTAGTTCCTAGTTCCTAGTTCCTCCTCCTTCTCCTCTTCCTGCTCCTCTTGCTCTTCCTGTTCCTCTTCCCCCTTCTCCTCCTCCTCCTGCCCCCCCCCCCGGTCCTGCCCCCCTCTCCCTCCCCATTGACCTTGCCCCTCCCCCCTCTCCCTCCCCATCCCACTCCCCCTCGGGCCGACCCTTTCCGGGGGGGAGCAGAGGCGGCCGAGACGACCCTGCCCGCCCCCGCCCCCCTCGCCGCGCAGCTGGGCGGCAGGAGCTGCGCCGCCGCCGCCTCCGCCGAGCACGCCCCCCCGGCCGCGGCCGACGCCGTGCGCTGCGGGGAGCTCGCCAGCGGCACAGCGGCCTCTGCGCTCGTGATCCCAGGCGCCCACGGTCAGGGGAAGTGTTTGGAAGTGTTCGCTTGGGGGGGGAGTGGAAGGAGGAGGAGGAGGAGGAGGAGGAGGAGGAGGAGGAGGAGGTGGAGGAGGAGGAAGAGGAGGAGGAGCTGCCTGCGGGCCCTCCCTCCTCTGGCTGGGGAGCGGGTCCCAGGGGATCGACCTGGAAGCCTTCGGAGGTTTTCGTTGGCTCCTGGAGGCTTTCCTAGGGGAGCCCTTCAGCAGCTGCGACTCTCCGAAATGTTTCCCCGGGGTGCCAGCTTCAGACGAATTGTATTTTTTCATACCTGCGTTCCCTCCCTGCTCTGGCTGGGCAGGGCTGGACCTAAACGGTGTCTTTGGCAATTTCGTGGGCCGTCTTCGTTTCGATGTCGTTTTGCGGCAAGGGCGAATCGAAGACAAAAGCGAGGAACAACGAAACCAAAAGGAACACGAACAACGCCGTTTAGGTTCAGCCCTGTGGCTGGGGAGCGGACCCAGGGGATCAACCAGGACCTTAGTTGCCTCGATACGCCCTTTTTGAAATGCAATACTTCCCGTGTTCAAGACGTCCGTGTCAATACGTTGCATGTTGGCTCCACGTATCGGACCACGTTTTGGCGAGTGTATCGTGTCGGACCTACGTTTTCAGCCTACGTGTTGAGCTCCGTATCAATACGATACGTGTTGCGTGTTGCGTATCGGGGCAGCTAAGACCAGGACATGGTCGGCAGATCCCGTTGGTTCTTCGAGGTGTTCTCGCTGCGGAGCGCCCTCCGGCAGCCTCGCCTCGCCGAGGGCGTTCCTGGTGTGTGTGTGTGTGTGTGTGTGTGTGTGTGTGTGTGTTCGGAGTGTCCAGAAGGGGCCGCTGGGGGTCCCGAGAAGGACGAGGGGGAGACTTCGGGTGGATGAAATGTTTCGATCCTGGCTTCTCCTGAAGCTTCGGAGTGGGATCAAGCTGTATGCTGTCGTACGCTTTCTTCTTCTTCTTCACCTGAGTATGTATGTAATGAGATGGGGTCTCTGTTATCACTTAGACGCATCGGACTCCTCACGCCTTCATCCTCTCCTCCTCCTCATTCTCCTCCTCCTCTTCCTTCTCCTCCCTGTCCCCCATATCCTGAGACGAGGCACCCTGCACAATCAGGCTTACTTATATTCAGGCCCTCCTATATTCAGATCGCTCAGGCACACACATGCAGATTCGCTCATGCTCAGACTTGTTCGCTGTCGCATTGAGATTCGCTCGCGCAGACCTACTCATATTCAGACTCACTCGCGCGCTCGCACTCAGACTCGTTCATATCCAGGCTCGCTCGTACTTAGACTCGTATTCAGACTCGCTCATGCTCAGACTCACTCGCACTCATACCCACTCGCACTCAGACTCACTCGCACTCAGACTCATCCACCCTTAGACTCACTCACCCTCAGACTCACTTGTTTTCAGACTCGCTCATACGTATACTCATGCTCATCATACTTTACTCATTCACAATCATATTCACTCATATTCAGCCTCGTTCGCACTCAGACTCAATCGTACTCAGACTCACTCCTACTCAGACCCGCTCAGAGTCAAACTTACTCATACGCAGACTCGCTCACACTCAGGTTCGATCGTACCCAGACTCACTCACACGCAGACGTACTCACACTCATAGCACACACGCTCAGACCACTCACGGTCATATTTGATCACAAGACTCACACACATGTGGTCACCAGGACAAAGCAGTCATGGCAGTTGGAGTGTTTTGATGTTTTGTGGTCCAATGCTCACCACGATGTAGGAGGCATGACAGTTGGGCACCCCAAGGGGGAGCCGCCAGGGGTGGGGACACTCCCAAAGTCGCATCCAGATAGATTGTGGGGATGCCTCAGGCGGTTTGCCTGTTTTTCCCTCAAGTTTGTTTCGTTTCGCGGTCCAATGCTCACCGCGATGTAGCAGGCGTATCATTTGGGCCCCCCAAGGTGGAGCCGCCAGGGGTGGGGACACTCCAACAGTAGCGTCCAGACTGTGAGGATGCCTCAAGCGGTTTGCCTGTTTCGCCCCTCCCCTCCCCCCCAAACCCCCCAAACCCCCCACCCCACACTCCCCAGGCCTTTGTCTCTTCGTGGTCCAGTGCTCACCGCGATCTGGCAGGCGTGGCGTGTGGGCCCCCTCCCAAAGGCGGAGCCGCCAGGGGCGCTCCGTGCCAGGCTGTGGGGATGCCTCCGGCGGTCTGCCTGTTCCGGCCCCCCAGGCTTGTCTTTGGTCCCGTGTGCTCTCAGAGCAGATTGTGGGGATGTCTCAGCCACGGCGCTTGTCTCCGGCGAGGCGCTGGCTCCTCCCTGTCTTCTTCCCTCCCTCCCTCCATTCCTCCCTTCCTCCTCCCTTTTCCTTCTTCCCTCTTCCCTCCCTCCTCCTTCCCTGTCTTTTCTCCCCCCTCCCGTCTGGCCGTCCAGGTTCGAGCTGTTCTTGGTCACGGTTCCGGGCAAGCTGATCCCGCTCAACGGAAAAACAGGCTTGAACCAGCACCCCTGGAGATGCCGCTCAACGTGGGAACCAGCACCCGGGGAGATCCCTCTCAACGCAAACTGGGAGAGGGCCCCCCTCACCCTTCATTGCGCATGGATGCGCAGCGACTATGGCCCAATACTGGTGGGCAGCTCAGGGAGGCCGACACATAAATGTTGTTCCCCACCGAGAGCGCGACATGCCGACACCTCGTCATCACTACAATCCTTGATGCCATTTCATTCATGTGGCGCTACCTCCATGGAGCTGCGCACCTCGACAACGGCAGCACATCACTTGGTCGACGTATTATGCTGTTCACGTCCACGAAGGCTTCAGCTACCGCTCCAGCTCGTGCGTTCGCAGCAGGCACGTGGCTTTCCACCCAGGGCGCGACTATAGTCCTCAACGATCTGCGCCACTCAACCCTTATTCGGATTGTCGTACGCAGCTCTGCGCCCGCGAAGCCGTGCAGATCATTTGCGTTGAGCATGCGCGCGCAAGGAGGTGGAATGCTCCGTCGCCCGCGGGCGAGCGACCTCGCGGGCTTGACCCGCAAGATAGACCAGAAAGGCAATCGAGTGCGCCTGGCAAAGTCTGAGAGGGCTTTCGTCTGCCCCTCTCCCCTTTCTCTCTGCTCTATCCTTCGGCTTTTGGGGGCTTTTTTCGGAGGGGGGGCCAGGACCGGGGCAAAATCGGACGGGAGGGTGTCGTCCGTGGCGCCAAACGTGAAGCGTTTCGCGTTCATGCTCTCGCTCGCCCTCTGCCTTGCGATGACGGCTTCGCAGGGGCAGACGATTCGCGCCGCAGTGACCAGGGACAACACGGCGCTGACGACGCATGGTGGCTGAACCTCTGTGTGATGTTCTCCCCCGACTCCTCGCGAGCTGCCGGCAAAAGGTCCGCGGGAGATCGTGGGGAAGGCACTCGAATGCGTCGAGATTTCGGAGAGGTCGACGGTGACGAGAGCCGCTCTGCTTGCCGACAAGAAGAAAGTAGCGGCTCGCGCCCTCGGTGGCCCGATGCCAAGTGCGGGCGGCCATGCGGGAGCTGACCCAGCAGAGCAGCCCTGCGATTTTTTGCCAGCGCCAGTGCGCGAGCGGCCCCGAGCTGCTGGCCCGATGCCAGGTGCGGACGTATTTTTCAACTACCCTCCGCCCGGTCACGTCCGTCCCGATGTCAAGCGCGGGCGGTCTCGTCTCTAGCCTGGCGGCGGTTTTCTCGATGGCAAACAAACTCGCTCTGGCCGGTGGAGAGATGAGCCCTTAGCGCCATAGCCAGAGTTGCCGCAGTGAGGACGGCACGCGTCTCTTCCCTTTGCGCTTCTGTCATCCCTCTTGCAATATGCCTAGAGGAGGGTGTCGCTGAAGTCGTCGCTGTCGTCGTCGCCGTTGCCGCGCCCGTCGTCCACGCGGACTCGCTCTCGCGACCAGATGCTCAAACACAGAGTTTCTCGACGATGCGTGTCGAGAGTATGGGAAGCGCGTGTCGGGATTTCTGTTTTTTTACCTAACAGCTTTTGCTGATAGGTTTCTAGTGGTGTCAAAAGAGCGCATCTGGACTCCTCAGGGGGTCTGGGCGGGTGCCGGGGAGGAGGGCCGGGAACAGGGCCGGGCTCGTTTTAAGCCAACAGTCACACACTTCGTGCTCTTCGACCTCCCAGAACTCCACTCCCGGGCCACATTTTGAATAACAGGAGCCAACTGTAGGCCATTTCGTGCTCTTCGACTTCCCAGAACTCCATTCCTGGGCTACATTTTGGATGCCCGGAGCCAGCTGTAGGCCACTTCTGCTCTTCGACTTCCCAGAACTCCATTCCCGGGCCACATTTTGGATGCCCGGAGCCAACTGTAGGCCACTTCGTGCTCTTCGAGTTCCCAGAACTCCATTACCGGGCCACATTTTGAATGCCCGGAGCCAACTGTAGGCCACTTCGTGGTCTTCGAGTTCCCCGAACTCCATTCCTGGGCATGATTTTGAATGCCCGGAGCCAACTGTAGGCCACTTCGTGTTCTTCGAGTTCCCAGAATTCCATTCCCGGGCCACATTTTGAATGCTGAGACAGGCTGAGGCTGAGGCTGAAGCAGGCTGAGGCTGAGGCAGGCTGAGGCTGAGGCCGAGGCTGAAGGCAGACTGAGGCTGAGGCTGAAGCAGGCTGAGGCTGAGGCAGAGGCAGGCTGAGGCTGAGGCAGGCTGATGCTGAGGCAGGCTGAGGCTGAGGCTGAGGCTGATGCAGGCTGAGGCTGAGGCAGGCTGAGGCTGAGGCCAAGGCTGAAGGCAGACTGAGGCTTTGGCTGAAGCAGGCTGAGGCTGAGGCTGAGGTTGAGGCTGAGGCTGAGGCATGCTGATGCTGAGGCAGGCTGAGGCTGAGGCTGAGATGCAGGCTGAGGCTGAGGCAGGCTGAGGCTGAGGCCGAGGCTGAAGGCAGACTGAGGCTGAGGCTGAAGCAGACTGAGGCTGAGGCTGAGGCAGGCTGAGGCTGAGGCTGAAGCAGGCTGATGCTGAGGCAGGCTGAGGCTGAGGCTGAGGCTGATGCAGGCTGAGGCTGAGGCAGGCTGAGGCTGAGGCCGAGGCTGAAGGCAGACTGAGGCTGAGGCTGAGGCAGGCTGAGGCTGAGGCAGGCTGAGGCAGGCTGAGGCTGAGGCAGGCTGAGGCTGAGGCTGAGGCTGATGCAGGCTGAGGCTGAGGCAGGCTGAGGCTGAGGCCGAGGCTGAAGGCAGACTGAGGCTGAGGCTGAAGCAGGCTGAGGCTGAGGCTGAGGCAGGCTGAGGCTGAGGCAGGCTGAGGCTGAGGCTGAGGCAGGCTGAGGCTGAGGCTTTGACTGCGACTGCCGTTGCCACTGCGACTGTCATCGCGAATGCGACTACGACTGCGAGAACAGCAGAATTCTACAACTGGATTCTCATCCGAATCTTAAGGGGAATGCTTCCAGATATGCTCCTACACATTGCTGTTAGGTTGCTTTGCCGGGATAGTTGTGTGTGTGTGTGTGTGTTCTCTCTCTCTCTCTCGCTCTCTTTCTTTCTCTTTATATGCATCTATTTATATGCATACACAGCTCTCTCTGTCTCTCTCTCTCTCTTTTTGTGTTTCTCTCTCTCTCATTTTCTCTCGCTCTTTCCCTCGACGATGACCAGTGCGTGCGGCCCCCCTGGCTCTCGATCCCCGGCGCGTGGACGTCCCTGCGCGGGCGGTGGGCCGTTTTTCCGTGCCTGCCGCGGGGCCCGAGGGCGGCCCCCCTGGGCCCAGACTCCGAGACGACGGCTCTCCATATTTGCCCAGGTGATCGTTTTTTACTCCTTGTTTTAAGTCGGGCACGTCCCTCCACGGGAGGAGCATTCACAATTTGTCAAACATAGTCTGGGGAACGATCTTTTGACTATTTTTTGATAATGTTTGAATATTTTTGGACCATGTTTGACTTTTCGTCCAAAATCCGCCTGACGGGGGACACGCCTGACGTAATCATTGCTTTTCCACTCGGCGCGGGCCTCCCCCTCCCTTCCCCCCCCCCCCCATGGAGTAGATCTTGGCTGTTTTGGGCGCCTGTTTCGAGAAGGTGGGGTCTCCCCTCATTAGACCCACTGCTGCAAACAGTCGCATTAAGAAGAGGTCCAGAGCCAGACCCCCCCCTACCCCTCCCCTTCCGCCCGATGTCGAAACGCCGAGTAAACAACCGTTCACCATCGTGCGGTCGGGCTTGATCAGGGCCGACTTCGGAGACTCACGGATGCCTTGTGGTTCTTGTCTACCCTCGGGTTTTATTCATGCCTGGGGGAGGAGCTGTCTTCGGAGGAATCTTGTGTCTTCGCGGGTGCTTCCGCAGTGTGTCCCGATTGTGCTGGGGGTCTAAGGTCTTTCGGCAGTAAGCCAGGCTACACAGGGCCGTTCGGGATGACCTAGGCGTGCACAACCGGTCCTCGGCGAGGCGCCTTTTCTGGGAGTCGTTCCACTGCCTGGGCCGGAAGAGCGCCCAGAAACTTCCAGACCCATCCGAAGACTTTGCGACTTTGCGAACCTCCCCCGTGCGACGTTTCCCGAAGGCCTCCGACGACCTCCGATGACCACCGAAGACCTCCAAAGACCTTCGACGTCCGCCGAAGCGTTGCGACGATTTCGGAGGACCTCCTGAGACCTCAGAGGGCCGCTTCGAGGTCGTCGTCCTCCTCCTCCTCCTCGTCCTCCCCTTCCTTTTTCTCATCCTCGCGTTCCTCTCCCTCCACCCCCTTCATCCCTGAATGGTGCGGGGCAGGGGGGAGCAGGAAGAGGAGGACCAGGAGAGGACGAGGGGTGTGGAGGAGAGAGGGGCGAACGACGACGCGACGACGACGACGACGACGACGACGACGACGACGACGACGACGACGACGACGACGACGACGACGACTATAACGACGACGACGACGACGACGATTGCGGCGGCGGCGGCGACGGCGACGGCGGCGGCAGCGGCGACGGCGACGGCGAGGGCGAGGGCGAGGGCGACGTGGCGGCGACGACGGCGACGGCGACGACGGCGACATGTGCGAACGGCGACGATGGCCGCGCTTGGTGCTGTGGGGTAGCCCCTGCAGGCGGCCTGCTCGGCAGCGGCACCTACGAGCTGGCGGTAACGGTGTCCAGGCCCGGCGCAAACACCACCGCGACCGCCAGGTGCGGTGGGGGGGGTCGGGGGGCATCGTCATGTACCGCCGTGGCCCGTGGGCTCAGCTGAGGCCCCCCCTCTTTACTCCTCCTCATCCTCCTCCTCCTGGTCCTCCTCCTCCTCCTCCTCCTCCTCCTCCTCCTTCTCCTCCTCCTCCTCCTCTTCCTCTGGTCTTGCGTGAGCGCAGCCGTATCCTGGTACATTATTGTTCCCCACCTTCAAGGCACACTGTCGAGGATCCCTTTGGATGCTAGGGAGAGGTGCAACTGGCCATAGTATTCGGCGGTTGGCGTCTTTTAACAGCGCCCGTAGCACTGGATTGTTAAGGCCTTACAGCCAGTGCCGCCGACCCTGAAGACGACGACGAATACGAGGAGGAGGAGGAGGAGGAGGAGGAGGAGGAGGAGGAGGAGGAGGAGGAGGGGGATTAAGGTGGAAGGGAGCAGGAGAAGGCGAAGGAGATGTTCCCCATGTGGGCCGAGGGAGTCGTAGCAGAGACAGACAGGGAGCCTTGTGGCCTGCGGCCCTTCCCGCCACCGTGCTGGGGTTGTGGTTGAAAGGCCTCTCGGATGTTTTCGGGCCTGTTGGGGCCTCTGTTGGGCCTCTTGGGGGTCTCTTGGGGGCCTCTTCGGGCCCCTTGAGGGGCTCTTGGGGCCTTCCGGAGGCTTCTTGGGGCGGGAAGCTCGAAATGTCGGTTCGTGGTCCTCTTCTTGGGCTCGCTTGGGGCCCTCTTGGCGCGTCTTGGCGCTTTTTTTGGGCTCCGGGACGCCCAGGGGCGGATGCGTATCTGACCCTCCCCCCCCGGGACCCCCCCTCCCTCGGCGGGGGAGGGATCAATGGGAAGGAGCTTCTTTTCGACTTAAGTACGACGTTGCTACGGTTTTCTCTCGCTGGCAGGCTTGAACAGGAGGGTGCAGGGAAATAAAGGTGGCGACGGAGACGCAGGGAAAGAGGACAACGGATGCGTCGACTGAGCGCACGCCGACAGGGGGTCCACACGCTGACAGAGTCGGCGGATTTGCGACCAGGCACGGGGATTGTGCATGTGGTTAAGAGGTGAGGCCAAATGGTCAGTAAATCCTATGGTTCTTCGCGTCCACTCACCCATGGGAGCATGAGGAGGGATCAGAGCACGTGCAGAACTTCAGTCATCGGGCGCGTTTTCCTGGACGCGCCATTGGGTTTTCGTGCATGCCTGATCTAGTGTGTAACCCAGACCTCTCGTCCGCTCGGTTGCTCGAGCGATTCCGAGCGAGCAAGCGAGTACCATGCGTTTAATGTCCCGCCCGCCGGGCCCGACCGGCCTTGATCGCTCGCTCGCTTGCTCGCGAGAACGAGCGAGCGAGCAGGCGAGCCCAATGCATTCGATGGCCCGCTCGCCCTGAGCGACCCGCCCAGATCGCTCGCTTGCTCGAGCGAGCGAGCGAGCACCGTGCATTTGATGTCGGGCCCGCCCGAACCGTCCCGCCCAGATCGCTCGCTCGCTCGCTTGCCACAACGAGCGGGCGAGCGAGAAAAGCCCCCTCCGTGCGTCGCTCGCTCGCTCGCTCGAGCGAGCGAGCGAGCGAGCACCATGCATTGAACGTCCCGCCAGGCCCGACCCGACCCGCCCGACCCGCTCGCTCGTGAACCGACCCGCTGGGTTCGCTCGCTCACTCGCCCGCCGCCCGCTCGCTCCCCCCCCCCCTCCCATGGCTTGCTCGTCCCCCCCCGCCC